TATTAATATTTTTGTTATATGCTGACTTCAAAATCTTATTATTAATTTTTTTGAGTGTTTTTTTTGTTTTTATTTTTATTTTTATTTTTATTATCGTTGTTTTTATTATTTATATTATAACAATGAATCCAATAGTATTTTTAATTTTTGACTTTGTCGAAAAAGAGGAAGAAATAACTTAGTTTTGATGTAGATATTGGGGAAAGAGAATGGGTCATTAACTGCAGTTTGAATAAAATCTTCACTAAAACAATTTAATTGGCGTAGATGGATCCGTGATGTCCATGATTCTTTGCTTACATATCTAAGTGAAGTTGATTGTAGTAGTAATTTGAATATTTCTTTTGCTAAATCTATGTCATAACTCATCATTTCTGTAATTTTATACCTATGATCGACATGGATATATTCATCAGATTCTAACTTGCATTTTAATAAATGATATAATTTTTTGTTTAATAGGAAATTTACCGATTTAATATTTTTAAAAATGATTCTATTTTCTGGAATATCGTTTATACTATTGTATTTAATTAGTTCAACTGAATGAATGAAATGAAATATTTTATTAAATAAATATTTATTATGAAAAACTAGATAAAATAATTCTGAGGTTTTTTGATCATAGTTGTTATTATTGTAATTGTTATTATTATTACTACTATTATCCATTGATGTGATGTGGTGTGATGTTTTAAAAAATTAATAATGAAAATTATTATTTTATTTAAATTTTATAAAAAAATTGTCGAAATAAAAAAATAATGTTTTTTTTCTTTATTCCCAAAGATTAAAAACTATATTTCGTTCAAAAAAAAAATATATTTTTTCCGAGATTTTTTTTTTGAAAATAAAGAATTATCTTTAATTTTAAAGACAAAACGGCATTTTATCTTCACTTTTTATTTTTTCTTTTTATTTTTATTTTTAAAACACAACCAAACTTTTCTTTTAAACAAAAAAAATTTAAACAATTGGCGGACGGTTAAAAAAATGGCAAAATTAAAGATAAGTTTTATTATTAGATTATAATTGTTTTGGGATCAAATTTTTATCATTTATGAAAGACGATTTCAAATAATATATTGATTAATTTTGAAAAATATTTGTTTCGATTATTTCAAAATTTTGGTTACTTCCTGCTTGTGCCACTTTTATTTTATTGTTTTTATTTTTATTATTATTATTATTATTATTATTATTATTATTATTATTATTATTATTATTATTATTATTATTATTATTATTATTATTTATATTATTTATATTTATTATCATTTTGTGTGTCATTTTTAAAATTAATTTTCTTTGTTTCCTTTTTGATATGGTTTCACCTTTTAATGGATTTAGTTTATTACATTTTAAACATACTCTAGTTATTGAATTGTTTAATTTGTTTGAATTTTTTGATAGGGATTGTTGTTGTTGTTGTTGTTGTGGTGGTGGTGATGGTTTTAATCTAAATTCTAACGAGTTAATTTCTTTTGTATTGGTTGAAATTAAACTTCTACTTTTATTTGATAGTTGATCAGTTTTAATAATTCTAACTCTACAATTTATACCTGGTATTAAAAATGTTCCACAATTAATTCTACAGTTTCTAGATTCTATCATTGTTGGTACACCTCTTAGTTGTTTAATATTTGCCATTTCTCTAAATTTATACATATAATATCCGCCTAATTGTGGGTTACAGGGTTGTGTACCGTGCTAAGACCCAAAAATAGTTTAGATTCTTTTCGTCGATGGATTCTGAATAGTTTTCTTGATCCTCATTTTCTTCTTCGAAATTGGAACTAAACTTTATACTTTTATGGGTTTTGAGTGTGATTGTTGATATGAAGGTGTATACTGTTGGAATATGATTTTGAGTGGATTGTAAATAAAAAAAAAAAGAAAAATTTTGTTTTTATTTTAATATTGATTCACCATTTATTTCAAATTGAAAAATATTATTTTGAGTATTTTGTAATATTTTATCTTTATCTCTGTTATCTTCTATACCAATACGAAGACATATAATGGACTTTGGTAAATTTTTTAATGATTCGAAATGTGTAAATTTTGAACCTAACTCCAAAAAAGAAACACCGAGTGGAATACTTTCTTTAATTATGGGTTGGTTGTAATTTGGAAGCGATAATATTTGGACATTTTTTGGAATATTATTATTTTTTTTTAATGGTGATTTGAAATTATAGTAGCATATAAAAAATTTTATTGATGAAGGAATTGAGTCCCCATATTCTAAAACGTTAAAACCTTTACCCAAAGAAAGAGCCTCCACTGAATCTGGAATAGATAATTCTTCGAAATCATTTGTATTTAAACCCAGAAAGAGAACCTTGATTGATTCAGGTATTGAGTTTTCTATAATTGGATGGTTATGTGATTTAAGGACGAGGCCTTCAAGTGTACAAGGAATTGAGCCAACAGGTATTGGATGATTAAACAGCGGCATGGATAAACATTTCACAGTGGGTGGTATTCCGTTTGGAAATGTTGGGTGGTTATAATATGGTAGTACGAGATATTCTACCGATGATGGAATAAGGTGAAGTGATGTTGGTGTATCAATTATTAAATATAAGTAATTTATGGTCGATGGAATAGAAAGAGTATGCTTTTCGGGGTTTGAAGGATAAATGAATACAGATTCGGGAGATATTTTTAAATCAGACATGTCAAATGCTAGTTTAAGGGTCTAAAATAATATTGTGGTAAATGTTAGTATTTTCTAATAAAAATATAATCAAAATATTTACCTTATTTCTAGTTTGGTTAAAAAAGAAATCTCTAAGAAAGATGTCTTTATTTAATAAAAACTTGGTCCTAGTTTTAAGCCCATTTGAAAAATGCTCAGGGATTTTTGGTATATCGTTTTCATCCAAGGTTAAATCACCACGGCCCATTTCAATAGCTGTACAACCCATACTCCAAATATCCGAACTAAAACATGTTTCACCTCTTCTTGTTTCAGGTGACATGTGTGTTGGTGTTCCTGTGATTGTTGATGCTTTATATTCTGTATATTTTGAAATTCCAAAATCAATTATTTTAACATTGAAATCGGAGCTTAATAATATGTTTTGGCATTTAATATCTCTATGAATTATATTATTATTGTGAAGAAAATTTATGCCTTTGAGACACTTATTCAGAATATGATGTATTAATTCATCTGGAAATTCCATTTTCTTTAAAAATTTATCAATTGAATGAAAACCTTCTAGATATTCCATATATAAATAAAGTAAACCATTATCTTGGTTATTTTGATCTACACCAAAGCCATACCCATAAAATTTGATAATTTGTTCGCATTGTGTTTCTAAATTAATTAAAATATCTATCACATTTAGTTCTCTTTTACCCTGTTTTTTAATAAAATAAAGAATATTAGTCGGAGGATTTGATGATTACATATTTAATCTATATATAAAATTACAATGTCTCCAAACTTTTTTGTGTCTATTATTTTAATTACACAATCGCCATTATTTGGTAATTGTTTATCTTTTATTTTACCATCTAATTTTTTTGCTTTATAAACTCCTTCACTAAATGATCCTTTACCTAATGGTTTGTCGATTAACCACTCACTATCAATATGTTTTGGGAGGTAATCATCCATTTTTATAAAGGTTTTGTTTTTTTTATTTTTAAATGAATTTTTTATATATAAAAAAAAGTTTTTATTTGAAATGAAAAAAAAAAAAAATAAAACAAAAATCTTCAGAAAATTAAAAAATAATTTAATTTAAAAAAAATAATTACCTAAAATTTTGTGATAAATAATTAAATTTTATGGAAAAATGAAAAGTTGGTGTAAAAACTTGGTAAATAGAATAATATAGTGGTAAATTATCATCTATAATATAGTCATTTCCATTTGACTCTTCTATATACATTTAAAAAGGCTATTGTTAGTATTCAATGAAGGAAAAAATTTTTGATCACAAAAAAATTAAGTGATCACTTTGTAATTATATTGCAATTTGTAATTCTAATTTAAATTTAAGATATTTACCAACTAATTCGTATGAGTTTTCAGCATCTGATATATCAACATTAAAAAATTTATACTTGCCACAAAAAAAAAATTAATGTTCAAAAAAAAAAAAAAAATTTTTTAAAAAAAATCAAAAATTTTTAAAAAAAATCAAAAATGTGTATTATTTAAAATTATTATAACTTTATTTTATTTCATTTAATTTATAATTTTTTTTAATAAATTTATTTATATTTATATATATACTTAAAATCAAAAAAAATTATAAAAAAAAGACACTGAATTTTAATTTTTAATAAAAAGTAAATTGTATAGTTATATTTGTTTATATGTATTTTTATTTATATAAATTGATTGATTTTTTTTTTAATGAAATGTATTGATTGCTTGTATGCGGTTGAATTTGAGTTGAAATAGGTCCTATTTAAAAACCTTATTACAAAGAATAAACTAATACCCCAATGTTTGATTTGTGTCTTAAAATGTGTTGACACTGAAAAATAAAGAATAAAAACCCCAATATTTGATGTGTGACTTAGCTGCGATGGCACTTAAAAGAAAGAATAACAATAACCCCAATATTTAATTTGTGACTTAGCTGCGATGATACCGATATAGAAAGAATAAACATGAACCCAATGTTAGATTTGCGACTTAAATTATGTTGGCACTTAAAAAGAAAGAATAGACAAGAACCCAATATTTAATTTGTGACTTAGCTGCGATGATACCGATATAGAAAGAATAAACAAGAGCCCAATTTTTGATTTGCGACTTAAATTATGTTGGCACTTAAATGGAAAGAATAGACAAGAACCCAATATTTGAAATGCGACTTAAATTATGTTGGCACTTAATAAGAAAGAATAGACAAGAACCCAACGTTTGATATGCGACTTAAATTATGTTGGCACTTAAAAAGAAAGAATAGACAAGAACCCAATGTTTGAATTGTGAATGAAACGTATTGATCCCGAAAAGAAAAACTTTAACTAAAATTATAAAAATTAATTATAAGTTTCTTTTAAATTCAAGTATAAAAATAATTGTTTAAATATTATAAATATAGTTACCTTAAGAGTTGTTTTGCTATAAAGCTGACTTGGAACATCTAGAATTGTTTCTGTAAAGTTGAATTAATGTGATGCTTAATTTCTATTATTAATGTTGGTGAAGATGGATTGTTTCTTGGATTGACGAAGTTTACTTTTTTTAATTTCATCGATTTAATAATTGAATGAAAAGATTTAATTAATAATTTGGTCTTCACCGATTTCTTAAAAAGAAACATTGAATGAATTATCAAAACTATTAATTTAATCACCTCCGATTTCAATATTAATCAATTTCCATTATCTAAAGCTCATCATCATAATATTAATCCTCATCTTATCACTTTATAAACTTTCATCATTAGTTACTTTCTGCATAAAATATTAATGAAATTAATTAGTATATATTTATTAAGTATAAAAATGAATGTGTAAATTACTTACTGTGATGTTATAAAATTCTTCTCTACAGTTTGGGCAGGTGTTGATACGTCTAGACCATTGTTCGATACATGCAAAACAAAATTTATGAAGGCAATCGATTGTAGCCATTTCATTTCTATCGATAAAGTTAAGACAAATTGTGCATTTGTCCTCGCTTTCTAAACGTTCACTTCCCAAATTTTCTATTTCTGATGTTTCTCTTTCGTCCCTCTCTCTTTCTTCATTGTCCCTTTGAATTCTTTCTAATCTTTCCCTTTCTTCTCTTTCTCTTTCTTCCCTTTGTCTTTCTCTTTCCTCTATTTCTCTTTGTCTTTGTTCTCTTACTCTTTCTGTTTCTTGTCTTTGTCTTATCTTTTCTGCTCTTTCTCTATCTTTTTGGATTCTTTGAAGTCTTGATCTTTCTTCTTTTTCCATTTGTTCTCTTTCCCTTTGAATAATTTCCAATTTTTTTCTTTCAAGACCTTCTTTTATTTGTCTTTCTATTTCCATTATTTTAATTCTTTCTATCTCCTCCCTTTCTCTATATTCTTTTTGAACTCTTTCTATTTCTCTGAGTCTTTGTAATTTTTGTCTCTCTTCTCTTTCTTTTTCAATTCTTAATCTTTCTATTTCAACTATTTGCTTATCTCTTTTTAAACTCTCTTCATCCTCGAGTTTTTGTTTTTTGGAAAATACTTTGTCACATTTAATTATTTCGTTATCATATTCTAATGATCTTTTCTTGGTTGAATGATTTCCAGTTGATGCAATTGTCGATGGAACCGATGAATATGTTTGTGAATTTGAGGTTTTACGTTTTTGAGAAGAATTTGAATGAAATTGAGATTGTGGGAGATTGAGTGATGAGACACTTGAGCAGATAAATTGGTGTGCTGGTGATTGATGGTTTTCTGTTGTATTTTGTGAGTGTTGTTGTGGGGATTGGTCACAATGATTTAGAGTTAAATTATTATTGGTTGGGGTAGAAATTTGTGTGTAGTTGATGTTGTTATTGTTGACTGGGTTAGACTCTTGTGTGCAGGCGATGTCACCATTATTGATTGGGCTAGAACGTGGTGTATGGGCAATACTGCTATTATTGTTGATTGGGGTAGACTCTTGTGTGCAGGTGATGTAACCATTATTGATTGGGCCAGAACGTTGTGTGTAGGCAATACTGCTATTATTGTTAATTGGGGTAGACTCTTGTGTGCAGGTGATGTCGCCATTATTGATTGGGCCAGAACGTTGTGTGTAGGCAATACTACTATTATTGTTGATTGGGGTAGACTCTTGTGTGCAACTGATGTAACCATTATTGATTGGACCAGAACGTTGTGTGTAAGAAATACTGCTATTATTGCTAGTTGGGGTAGACTCTTGTGTGCAGGTGATGTAGCCATTATTGATTGGGCCCGAACCTTGTGTGTAGGCAATACTGCTATTATTATTTACTGGGGTAGCGTGTTGAGTATAGTTGATGTTACTATTATTGTTGCTATTATTGTTATTGTTATTGTTATTGTTGTTGTTGTTGTAAGCAAAGTATTTATTTATAAAATAAATTAATGAAAAACTAATAGTAACAAATAGAAAAACAATTATTAAATTATTCATTTTTAAATGGTTATTAATAAATAGTTATGTTATTAGGTAAATTATTTTTATATATTAAAAATTATAGTTATTATAAATTTATTAAATGTGAGGAATATTATTATAAAAAAAATAAAAGTATATGATTATTTGTATGTGAATAAAATAATAAATTAAAAAAAAAAAATTCTTTTTTTTTTTTTTAATATTTATCAATTAATTTTTTTTTTTTTTAATTGTTTTAGAATTTGAAACAAATAAAATTTTTTTTTTCAAATATAAATTTTTAAAAAATAATTATTAAAAAATAATTAATAAAAAATAAAAAATAAAAAATAAAAAATAAAAAATAAAAAATAAAAAATAAAAAATAAAAAAAAAAGATGAATAATAATTATAATATTAATTTAGGTATTTTAATTTGAGTTAATTTAAATTTCACAATAACATTTTTGATTTGTTTGAGACAAATGAGTTTGAATGAATTATTATCACCTGGTGTGATTGAGAGTGAGCTTTGTTCATTGTTATCTGATGAAATAGTTTTGAAATAAGTCCTAGGTTGTAAATGCCATGTCTTTACCATCACAGAAAGAAATCTCGGCCGATGAACCTAAACTTCTAATAGATCGGCTGGTGGAAAAGCAAAAATACCAAATTCTTCTTTCCTTCCATTATATTGAACTGAAATAATAATAGTGCCAAAAAATTCACGAGATGAAAAAAATTCCACTTAATTTCTTCTTTTGCAAAATAAAAACCGAGTTTCAATCAGTATTTGTACTATATCTAACTAATTACAATAAGGATTTTATACATTTTTTTTCATAACTTTGGTTCACAACCTTTTTGTTGATAAAGTGGTGTAATTTGAATGAGATCTGGATTTGTATTGATACATTCAAAACACCTTTTGTTTGCCCTATAACTAACAAAATTAACTTTCGGTGTAACATATCCCATCCTCTAAATACACATTCCATTCCAAAATCAGTAGCCCATATAAAGCTTCCTAAGTCATATGAAAATCCAATAACAGACTCTCTATCTAAAAGATTAAAATCATAATTTTCAAAACTTCGCGTATTAGAAACTGTTGAAACATAGATATAATAAATAAAAAATAAACAATAAAAATAAATTTTTTTTTTTATTTAAATATTTTCTAAAACTGAGATGAATTAATGTGGTATTTTGAGCTAGAGACTTACCATCATTGCGATCTGAATTATTCAAAAATATATAATGATGCCAACTGTTTAATTTAGACAAAAAAAAAAAAAAATTTCTTTGGTGGTCAATAGTATAAATATGAAAAAAAAAACATGACAAATTTTTGTGATGATTATTTATTTATAAATTTTTTTCTTTATGATTTGAATATTAATATTGATAAATATTATCTTTATTAATTTAACGATTATTTTTATTATTATTTATTATTTAATTTTTTTTAATTTTTTTTATTTTTTAGCATTATTTAAATTTTGAAATTTGGTTGGGTTTAATTGTAAATTTAAAGATAATTGGAAAGAAGAATTAGAGTTTTGTTGTTGCTTTTGTGCATTTAATAAGAAAGCAGCACCCTCATCTTCAATTTTATTTTCAGATAAATCTATAGATTGAATTGTTGAATTTTGTTGAATCATTTGCGATAATGATTGGGCGTTATCATTATTTAAATTATTATTTGAAAGACTGAGATGAGTTAATGTAGTATTTTGAGTTAAAGTTTGAGCAATTAAATTACAATTATTTGATAAATTATTATTATTTAAATTTAATGATTTTAACTTCATTGCTTGAATAAATTCTATAAAAATAAATAAAAAAACCAATTAGTGTGGGTGAAAAAATGATTATTTTTTATATTTTTTATACTTACCAATTAATGAATTTTTATGCTTTGAATTTAAAGAATTATTTGCTAAATTTAAATTTATAATTGATATTGAGTTGTTAATTGATTGTAAAAGGTCGTTGAATATTTTAATTTCATAATTATCAAATTTATTATCAGAGATATCTAAAGTTTCGATTGAAGCATTCCAATTTATTGCGTTTGATAATGCTGAGATATACTTTTCGTCCTTTAACATTTTAGAAAATTCTAAATTAATTAAAGTTTCATTTGATTTCATTGATGTGGTGGCTGCTGATGATAAACTAACATTATTTGATTTATTACATTTCTCTATATATGACTTTTCAATTAATCCTCTATTATGATATCTTAAACATTCATTAAAATATCCAATAAAATCGTTAATTGTTGTACTATTACTTCCTTCGACTAAAAGTAAAATAAATAAAAATTAATAAAATTGAAGCTATGTATAAAGATATACTAGTATTATGTATATACTTACTAATAGGTATTTTATATGGACATAAAGATATAAAAGTTTTAATTAAATGATCTCTATAATCACATAATAAAATATCTTCGGAATTATTTGTTAGTGGTGAGGACCTTCTTCTAAACTCAATTCTTTTTGGATGATATTTATCTACAACTATACAAAAACTACCTTTTTCACCACTGCTACCACTGCTACCACCAGTAACACCAGTAACACCACCACTACCATTTGGACTACCATTTAATTCACCAGAATCTGAATTATCGTTGGCCTCTTTAAAGAATAAGGTCTTTTTATGCATTGATAGAATTTTATTGAAAATTGTATTGATTGAAGGTTCTATTACAATCTTTAATGAATCCAATTTCACTATGACATTCTCTTGAACGGATTTAGTTCTTTCAATACAAGAGTAGTTGTTATTTCTAATCATTATTATGTCTGGATTAGATATTATATTAAATGATGAGTTCATATCATTATCTTCTGTACTTTCCTCATCCAATTCAAAGAATGATGGTAGATTATTACTATTATTATTATTATTGTTATTATTATTGGTTGGTTTATCTTTTTTAAATGTTGATTTATTTATTGAATCGATTTCCAATTTATTTGCTTCACCCTCACCACTTGTTGGTATTGAGTTGCCACTATTATTTAATGATCTATGTGAAACTTTTATTATATTTATCATTGTTGTTATTGTCTTTGAAATAATGTTGAATGGTTCGTGAATGTTGTAACCTGTTCTTGCTGAAATTTCACACCAACTTATATTGATATCTAACTCTTCAGAACGCTTTTCGCATTCTGCTTTCAATTCCTCTGTAGTGATCTCTCTCTTTGTACAATCTAGTTTATTACCAACTACTAAAAACATTGATCCTGCTGCCACCATTGATTTCGATTTGCTTAAAAGGTCAAATGCTTTCCTAAAACTTTCTTTACTTGTTACATCAAACATTAGCATCATACAATTGGTTCCAGTTAAATAAAATGGTAATAATCCCTTTAATCTATCGTGACCACCTGAATCCCATATCTCCAAGTTTAATGATAATCCACTATAATGATTCATATGTAATGTTCTAATTGCACCAAATGTTGTGGTTTCATCAATTAAAAATTCCCCAGATGAAAATCTTCTTATAAATGATGTTTTACCAACACCTTTATGAAAAAAAAAAAAAAAAAAAAAAATTAGATTTCGTTGAATGATTAAATATTCTATAGTAAAAATTTTGTATACATACCACTAATACCTATAATTGTACATTTTATATTTGAATATAATCTATTTTTATCAAAATATTTTAATGATTTTATTGCCAAATCCAACTCTGATCTTTTGAAATCTGCCATTGTACTATATGTATTATTACTATTTTTTATTAAAGCTGGGTATAGACTGCCATTTATTGCATTGACAGTTGAACCATTATTTGTATTGTTATTGTTATTATTATTATTATTATTACTGCTTATATCTGTGCTACTATTATCGCTGCCATCAAAACTTTTATCGCTACTGGTATCGCTATTGGATCGATTTCTTCCTATATTAATACCACTCCTATTTGATGTGGAGTTTGCTTTATTAAAACTTTGTGTTGTCATTTTTTTTTTTTGAACTATTATTATTATTTAAATTTATAAAAAGTTTTTTTAATTATTTTCATTGAGTTATTTAAAAATGACTAATTATTATTTACAAATAAATAAAGAAAGAAAAAAACAAACTCAAACACAAATAAATAATAAATATATTATTATAGATAGATAATTTTGTATTTTTTTTTTTTTTTTAAATTTTTTAAAATTTTTTTTTTTAAAATTTTTTAAAAAATTTTTTTTGATTTTTTTAAAACAAAAATTAATTTTGATTTTTTTTTTTATTTTTTGAACTTTTTTTGAACTTTTTTTTATTTTATTTTATTTTTTACCTTTTTTTGTATTTATAAACACAGAACATTAAATAACTATAATAATCACATTAATTTCTATTTTTATTTATATTCATATTCCTGGGGTTGTAAAAAAAAAATATATTAATTAAAATTTTTTCATAAAATTTATTATAAAAATTTTTATTAAAAAATCATTCATTCATTATAATAAAAATAAATGTATTTAGAATAATATATCAACCAAATAAAAATAGAATTAGTAAATTAGCAATGGATATTTTGTAAAATTTCAATTCAGTTATTTCATAAACCGAAAGGGTAAAAAGTAAATTTTTATTTTTTCTTTACTCGAAAAATTATTTTAATTCAAAAAATCAGGGGCTGGCTCATAAAAACGATATTTTTATTTTTTCCTTTTTTTTTCTTTTCTTTCTTTTTTTTTTTTTTTTATTTTTTTATTTTCTTTTCTAAACGCACATTTGATTAATAAAAATAAATTTATTACTAATAAATAGATAAATAAATAGATAGATAAAAATAAAATGACATATAATACCGGTTGTGTAGATGCACAAGAAATATCAACAGAATCAGCACCATTCGAAACATTTGGCAATAAAGTTTTATTGCCATCACAACAATCATACTTGTGGGATATTTTAGCAGATTTGTTACCAAAAACTTTAAATATCAAAGAATCCATAAAAAACCCTACTATTACATTTTTCCCAAATATTCTTTTTCAAAGCACTATTCCAGAGTGTGACAAAGATAAAGAAATGACTATATTGGATATTGCTGCTGGGTCTGGTTTAATATCTTTATCTGGATCTAGACAATATCCAAATGCTAAATTTATTTCAAGTGATTTCAGTGACAGGTTGGTTTCACTCTCAAATAAACTTGCCCAAGAGCTCTCATTACCAAATATTTCAAGTTTAGTAATGGATGGTCAAAATCTTGACCACTTTTTAGATTCATCAGTTGACTATGTATATTCAATCAATGGCTTAAATTACTTCCCCAACCAATTACAAAGCCTAATGGAAATGAAAAGAGTATTAAAACCAAATGGTAAAGTAGCAATTGGTGTCCCATGTCCAGATAACTTTTCTGGATCAGTTTTAAAAGAGGCAACAAAGCAGCTTCTAGGTGATAGTTTCAAAGAATCTAGCCAAGTTTCATCATCACTTTCAAATCCAGAAGTTTTTGAGCTTTTACTAAAACAAAGTGGTTTCCAAAATATTGAAATTAAAAAACATTTCCAATGGTTAGATTTTGGTTGTAGTGTATATCAAACTTGTCAATTATTAAAGGTAATATTATTTTATTTTTAAATATATAAGAAATAACTTTACTTTTTATTAATAAATGTTTATTTATATTATTATATAGTTAAATCCAATATATAGTGACCACCTCTCAGTTGTCCCAATGGAAAAGAAACATTTATTTGACCAAGTTTTAGTAAATGAAATTATTAAGAGTGACCTTAAAATGGAAGCTGATGGAAAGTTTAGAATTAAAGCATCTTTTTATGTTGCAACAGCTTGTAAATAAAAAAGAAATAATAAAAATAAAAAAATAAAAACCTATAAAATCAATTTATTTATTAAATGTATATTTTTTATTTCTTTCTTTTTATTTTATACAAATGGTAAAACTCCTGGGAATGAGTACAATGAACACGAACCTTGTTTTAAATACATATACCCAGATGTACCCCAATTGGTGCTCCAAGAGTTTTTAACTAAAAAGCTATCGGTTTCGGAAGAATAACCCACAAGAGTAATTGCATGATTTGGTGTGTATGATTGAGGACATGAATAGACACCAGATTTATAACTTTGAAAACCTGCATCAACATAGACAGCGGCATATATTGGACCACTCTTTAAAGCTGCTATAAAGTTATCTCTAGTGGATTTTAAATTTGCATAACCAGTCCATTTGAATTTTGTTTGTAAGATATTTAAAATTGGGCACATTCCAGTAACTGCTAAGTATGGATCATCTTTTTCGTAAAGAACACCATTGGGTTTTAGAGATTCTAATGAGGATTGACCATTGCCACCATTGCACCCATTTCTAGAACAACTAATAAAGTTTTGTTCAGATAAATCGATATCGGTATTTGGCAAGTTGTTTTTAATTAAATAGGCAGATTCTAAAGCAGCACAGGTTGCAAAAGCATAACAACCTCCGCATGAGCCTTGGTTTTTTATACTTGTAACAAAACCCAGTTGTTTCCAATCCACATCATCAGTTGTGGATTCGAGAATAAATGAACTTGTAGAACTACTGTTTGAATTGGTATGGTTTCTGTGGCTTTTCAGTACTACTTCTTCAGTCAGGTTTTGTTCTTTTGGAGTGTAGGGTTTAACTCCACCATAGTTACCCAATGGATAGTACCCACAAACTAGAAAGTTATATCCTTTAGAATCTGAATCTTTACAGAATGATGTTGCACAACCAACCTGAGTAGTTGTATTCCAAATCATTGTTGGATAATTATCACAGCATTTCCCATCTTTACACCCAGCAATTGACCAATCGTATAAAGGAGCTGTCTTTACAAAAGTTCTATTTATAACATCTACAGGGTCAAATTCTTTATTCATTACTTTAAATAAACTGTATCCATTACCCACTCCATATGAAGAATCTGGTACTTTAAATTCACACTTGTTTACAAAATTTTGTACATTATTTGCAATATCGTTTGAATAACCTTTTTTAAAATATTAGAACATTAGTATTTTATATTATATAACATTTCTAAAAAAACTATTTAATAATACTTACTAATTAAATTCAATGGAGATGCTGGTTCTGGACCATAATTCCTAGCAATGATTCTAAAAGAATTATGAATTGATTCTATTGATTTCCCTACATTATTGTAGGTGTATGAATTTACAAATTTAAAGTTTTTTATTATTAAGATGATAATTATTGATATTATTACTTTCATTTTTTTTTAAAATATTATATTTATTTATTTTTTTTTCAATTATTTATAATTTTCAAAAATATATTTTAAATTTGTTTTTTTAATTTTTTTTTTTAAAATACAATTTTAATTTTATAATAATTGTAAAATTATTTCTTTTTTTACTTTTATTTTATTTAGTTATTTATATACCAATTCTTTATAGATGTTTGGTATTTATTATTTTAAATTTAAATCAAATAATAATTTTTTAATTTTTTTATTATAAAAAACATTCCAAACACACTTTTTGCATATTTTTTATTTTATTTGCATCAAAAAGACAATCATTTATCTTTGGTATTTATTTTTATTTTTTTAAAGGTATTATAAGATAATTTATAAAATATAAAAAGAACTCAATAAATAAATAAAATAAAATAAAATAAAATAATAAAATAAAATAAAAAAAAATAGAAAATAAAATTGAAAAAAAAAAAAACTATTTATAATTGTTTTTAAAATCATTAATAATAAAAAACTAATACAAAATGTTTAAATTATTTAAAGTATTATTATTATTAACATTCATTATATTTAATAGTGTATCAAGTTTCGAACCTTCACCCAACGAAATCAAGTACTGGACCATATTCAAAAATTGGTGTGATACTTTTGGCAAAACCTATGATGAATCCACTATTGAGCAAAGTTTTAATAATTTCAAAGATAACTATAATTCTATTGTTAAAGAAAATTCATTAAACCAAGCACCTTTTGTAACTGTTTCATATTCGGATAGCAACAAAAATGAAAATAATAATATTAATAGAAAACTGTTCTTTATTGAAGCTGCTCAAGTTGAGATTCAATTACCTATAAACAACCAGTTCCAAGTTCGTATGTATTTTCAACTATTTCTTTTTATATATTTTAGTAGTAATATTAAGTTTATTATTATACATATTATAGAATCTTTAAATCAATTCAGTGATTTATCTCATGGTGAGTTTATTTCTTACTATACTGGTTTAGAAGATTCCAAAGAGGAATCAAGTCCCACTGGCAATGGATTAAGTAAAGGTGAAATCAGTGGTATTACAATAGGTTCAGTATTTGGGGGATTGGGTTTCATTGCTTTATGTGCTTTTATAGGAAGAAAAATCTTTAAATTAAAAAAAGAAGAAAAAAGAGTGGCCAAGGGAGAGCAAGAAATTAAAAAAGTGTTTGGTGGAGTTAATATTAACCTTGAAGATTTAAAACCTGGACGTCATCAATCAATAACTGGTAGAGCTATTCCAATTGATAAATAATTTATAAAAATAAAAAAAAATCATTACATAATGTTATTTTATAATTTAAATAAATACTTTTTTTTTTTCTTTTATTAATTTTTTAAAAAAATAAAACTAGATTTACAACAACATATTATTTATTATTATTATTATTATTATTATTAGCAATTATTAACTATTATATTTATTCTAATGGTAAGAATGTCATAATTGGGAAAGTAATGAAATCATCATTTGAAAGTGAATTATCTGGTGAAACAGTTGAAGGTACAGTACTATTTCTTGTGTTACCAACAGTTGGAGTATCTTTGTTGCTACAAAAAGATAATTTGATTTTATTGAATGGACCATGGAGTTGACCATCTAAAAGTATATCAAAGGTTTTCTTTTTATCTGGAGATTCAATTTCGATGACTGTGGTAAAGAATCTAAAGAGATCTTCGGATGAAATGATTTTCTTTTTCTTTTGTTCTGCTTCTACTAAATGAATTTCCATTTTTGGTTTCATTTGGTTATCTTGTTTATTTAAGTTGAAATTAGCTGCAGTATTTGTTTGATTCGATGATGATGATGATGATGATGATTTAATTGTTGATTTTGGCATAATATTATTAATTTCAATACCATAGTATGATTTTGATTCAATGTTAATCCATTGTAATGATTGGCCCATTTGATTGCACTGTTGGATTTTAATGCTGACATTGGTTGGTTGGTATTTTGAAATCAACTTGGCCAATTGTGAGGATTCAGAGTTTATACTATTGCTATTATTGCCGCTATTATCTCCATCCCCATTATTACCGTCACTGTTTGAATTTGTATTTGAGCCATCTCCATTATCGCCACTATCATTATTATCGAGGTTTGATAAAGCTACGCTATTTGAACCATTAATATTCATACTGCTTAAAGTATTGACTAGGGTTGCTGTGTTTATAGTCATATCACCTGAATTTGCAACTATAAATGTTTGAATATTAATTTCTGCTTTCATTAAGAATGGAATGGTATAATATTGATCATCAGTCCAACCTTCGCATTTGACAACTGGGATATCTAAACAGAATGATGCCTCTCTAAATAAATATTCAACTTCGCTTTGAATAATATGTGATGGTGTTTCGATTAAATCATGGTCCATTTTTTTATCGTTATTATTTGTTGCAGTGTTTGCTTGTTCATTATTATCAATCTCTGATTGTGGTGGTGATAAAACTTGTTCTTTAGAAATATTTAGTTTATTTGTTTCTTCTTTTGGTATACTCATACTGCTTCTTAAATCTTTAATTTGTGAAATTGATTCAATGAATGATTGTCTTTCTAAATTTGAAACCTTTGCAACTGGTATAAATGATGGTATAATATTATAAATTGATCTTTAAAAATAATAAAAAAATAAATGTTAATTAATTTTTTAAAAATTTTAAGAGTATTAAAAAAAAAACTTACTTGAGGCAAATTGAAACTTGTTTATGATACCAGAAATCAAATGATGAAATAAAATCTGAAATTCTGCAATTATTATAAAGATTTTGGGAATTGGTTGGTAAAATATAAAATAATAATTCTAAATCTTCAAATAGTTCTGGTGAATGAATTCTAAGGAATAGATAGGCACCTAAAACATGTTGGATGGAAGCGTCATTACCAACGATTGCAAATTTAACTTGTTCTTGATAATCTTGATCTTGATATTTTGAAAGAAGAGTAATTAAAGCATTTGTAGTTTTCTTGTTTATTGGGATTTGGTATTGGGTGGCGTATTGATCGGGTCTCTTTTGACGAACACTTAAAGTAAGTAACGAATTAAATTGATATGATAAAGGTGGTAATTCAATTGCTTTAGGTTTGTGAGAGAATGGAGTATTGTTGGTTGAAGATGCTTTAATAATCTCATCTCTAATTGTACAAAGTTGTTCAATTCTGGCGGCTATCGAAGTCGATTTCTCCAAATACATTGTTTTATTCATAATCTCTAATATCTTGAAATGGAATTGTGATACATCGATTGGTTCCAAATACTCTAAACCCAATTGTGTGTTATCAACACCTAAAATTCTCTTGAAAATATTCTCTATATTATTTGATTGAAGTTGAGTGATAGTTGGTAAATAGGTTGCAGAGCTTGAATTTTCAAATAACTCTTGAATAAGTAATGCTTCGCTGTTATATTTATCTACTAAAAAGTGAACAGTTGGTCTGTTCTTATTGCTAAATAGTGTATTAGTGAGATTGTTGGCACTAATGCTATTTGGTTGGGCAATGATCGATGGGAACTCTACAGTTAACATATTTCTGAAATAGGATCCTGGGCACTTTGATTCTAATGATAAAAGTTCTAATATCTCTTTGGCAAATGTACAATATGGTTTTGGCCAATGATAGTAAGTCTTTACCAAAGTAAGTGCTGTTTCGATTGTTCCTGGTGAGATTACTGGAGTTATTAATAAAAGATGCTTTAACATTTGTAATAATATTAAAACTTTTCTTTTGGTTAATAAAGGATGTTTTAAAAATAATAATAGACATGAAAGAATTTCATTTGATTTATTGATGGATTCATCTCTTAAAATTTTTCTAATACAAGCGCTATACCAAGAACCCATTTTAACTATTAAAATATTAAAATATTAGTAAAGATTTTAAATTAAAATGATATAATATAAATAATTACTTTGTCTTTGATTATCATTTGATATTTGAGTTTCTGAACATTGATCAATTAAAAAGAAGATGAAATCATTATTATCTTGATAACCATTTTGAAGTATACGTGCGATTTCAGCCAAGAAACTTGATTCTGATTTATTTTTATCGAATTGTAATTGATTAATTTTATTTAATATAACTTTTAATGTTGGGAATTGTGGATTGAATGTATAAAACAATGATAGATACCCAATAGTTGATAAAATTAATAATCTATTACTTTCTGATTCTTTAAGTTCCTCACTTGTTAAGTTATTATAATTATAATTTATTGTTGTTGATGTTGTATCATTAAAAATATTATCAAAATTATTGCTATTGTTGTTGTAGTTTGAATTTAATTCATTTGATGGTGGAGTTGATGGTTGTGATAAATTTATACTGTTGCCTGATGTTGATAAGGTTGTTGGTTGTGATGTGTTGCCTCCATTATTTGTATAAATTACTGTTGTGCTTGTTTCGACTACTGTTGTACTATTATTAAAAGTTTCTAATTCTGTATATACAACTTTTTTTGATTTTCTTTTTTGTTGATCATTATTATTGTTACCCTCTTCATTATTTAATACCTCGTCTTCGGATTCGCTATCACTTTCACTTTCATCACCGTCATCTTCTTCACCGGCTGTAGTGGAATTATCCAAACTTGTATTAATTGGTGAATTATTTGTACTATTATTATTATTATTATTATTGTTGTTATTATTAATATTGACACTATTTCTATATGAGTTATTAAGTAATTCAAAAAATTCTTCTGCTGGTGCATTTGTTAACTTTGTAAATAATGATTGAAGTAAAGTATTGGATGACTTTTCATTATTAAATAACATTATATATTTAGTTAATAATAATGAAATAATCATTGATATGGCATCACCATTATCTTCAATATTATATAACAATGTATCCCAAAATACATTATGTGTTTCTATTGATGAACATAATTTTAATTCGACAGAGTGTTGTAAAATTTCACTCATTTGAATTAATGTTGGTTGTAAATGAAATCCATTGTTATTGTTATTATTTTCTTCATTCATTTTATTTTATTTTATTAATTTTATTTTATTTATTTTTGTTTAAGGACAAAAATAAATTATAAATATAGACCTTAAACTAAAAATAATTTAATAGATGATAACTATTTATATATGAAAAATTAAAAAAAAAAAAAAACCAAAAATTTCTTAAAAAAAAAAATAAAAAAAAAAAAAATTTAATAAAAAAAAAATAAAAAAAAAAAAATAAAAATCTGCAACTTTTTTTTATTTTTATTATTTTCATTATTTTTTATTATTTTTTATTATTTTTTTTTTTTTGTAAAATATTTAAAATAGGGTTATATTTTCTCATCAATGTCATCATATATTTATCATTAAACATAATATAGCATTAAAATTAAAAAAATTAAAAAATAATTTTTATTTTATTAATTTTTTTTTTTACATCATTAAAACAGGGCTGTAAAAAACAATAATTAATCAAAAATTTTTTTTTTATTTTTTTAATTTTAATTTTTGGTAAAAAATGAGTAGTAATAGTGGAATACTAAATAACAATAGTAATAATAAAAATAAAATTGTCAGAGTTTCCATTAGAAGTAAACAAGATATCATTAAAGAGTTTTCAACAGGGTATCCAACAATATTGGAAAACTATATCGATAAAGATGAGGTAAGCCACACTGTCATCCCCTCAAAAAATCATATTTTCGTGTTTTTTCGTTTATCTAACCACTTTTTTTAAATTTTTTTTTTTTTTTAATTTTAATTATTTTTTTGATCACTTTTCAAAATTATTTTATTTTTAATTTATTCATCTTTTTATAATATTCATAGTATTTAGATGTAATCAAAAAGTTAAATGGATACGATGGTGTTTTAAATAAAAAGGCAATTACAGCATGTATAGTTATACTGTTAATAGGTATTGTGTGTTGTGTGTTGGGTGGTATTTCAAATATGTTATTAAATAAAGATAACAATAATAGTGGTTCAACAGGCGATCAACCCCCATCCGTTGTGGCAAGTCAAATAGTATTCTTTTCAGTGGGAGGCGTATCTTTAATAAACTCTATAGTGTTTTTAATATTTATTTATAAAGTGCCTTTTAAAAATGTAAAAACCATTAGAAAAACCTTATCAAGATATAACCAAAAGTTTTTATCAAGAAAAATCGAATTCTCACTAGAATGTGAGAATGATGAGTATTTTGTAAGTATTTATTTAATAAAATTATTTATATATTAAACTCAATATTAATTTTAAAATTAAAATTTAAAGATGAAAATAAGTATACCTTCAAATCCTTTACCATACAGCGACTCAAAAAATAGGTATAACGAAAAAACCTCATTATTAAAGCAACCAGCAAATAAAAGATTTAAACAAGTATTGATTTTTGACCCCTCATAAAGAAGAGGAAAATAATATAGAGTTTGAAGTTTCAAAAGA